TTGCCATTTCTCTAGATCAATCCCATATCCAAAATTCTTTCCCCAAGCAATCATAGCTTCTTTAACTTGTTCTTCTTCTAGTTTAATTTCTAACAAATAACCATACAATTTTTTAATCACCTTTTCATCAGTACCTGTCAAAATCTTATCTGTCAGTTTATCATAAAAACCTTCTGTTTTAGAGTCTTTAACATACCTTGAATGTATTTGTGCATATGAAAACCAATTCATCTTTATACCTTGTTCCTCTAATTTTTTGTATAGATTTAAGTTCACCCTTTTCATTCAATATTTCACCGTATCTAACTGTTTGTTCCTTTTTATATATTATAGGACAAGAAAATGCTTCAATAGTCGATAGCCAGACTGGAATTTTCAAATAACATTGCCTTTTAGTCTTCTCCCAGTTTAACCACAGAGATGCCCGTATATAATGTCTTCTAAAATGCCCCTGTGTTTTAGTTCCTTTATACCATAGAAAAGCATGCAACCCCAACAACAGATCATGTCCTTCTAATGTCAACAATCTAGTATTTCTTAATCTTATCCATTCCTTAACCCACATCAAATTTGTAGCTTGGTAATACAACTCCCAATTAGGCAAACCAAATCCTCCTCTTATTCTGGCATCTTGCAAAAGTTTTAACCTTATTCTCGCTTTCTTACCTTGCCATATATATTTCAACACAATTTTATTTAAATCTTCAAATTAATCTTTTCCAAGCCTAACTGGAATTGTTTGGAACAAATATGAAATTCTGGGTAATATATTCATCTTGATTGTTGATATACTCCCTATTAATGACAGTTGTAAATTTTCCCATTTCACCAAATCTAGTGCTATCTGCTGCTTAAGTTTGATATAATTATTCTCTTTTAGTGTACTGCATCTTGCTGTCAAGTGTATCCCCAAATACTTGATCTTTTTCATGACCTGGATTTTCAGTAAATCTGCCAGTTCTTCCTTTTGTCTTGATAGCATATTCTTTGTCAAGATCTTTATCTTATCTTTATTTATTTTCAAACCAGCCACCTTTCCATATGTCTCTATCTTTTCTATCAATTTTGATGTTGTTTCTAAGTGGGTCTTCTAGAATGAAAACCAGATCATCTGTAAATGCTTGCAACTTAAATTCTTCCTTTTTAATTTTCATCCCTTTTATATTCTTTTCATCTCTAATATTTCTGTTTAGCACTTCCAAAGTTAACACAAACAACAGAGGTGATAGTGGGCACCCTTGTCTTGTTTCTTTTCTTATATCAATAGAGTCTGTCAGTTCTCTCTCTATCATTACCTTTGCCGTTTGCTTATGATATATAGCTTCTATTGCTTGAATAAGAAGATTGGAGATATTGATAACAGATTAACTGTGGTTGAGCAAGATAAAAGTGGTATGTTGAGATGGGAGATGGACAGATCAGAATTTTATCTTAGATTCCAAAGCATAGAGGAAGAATAGGGACAAAACCTAGCTGGGATAATGATAGAAATATTGGCCAAAGCTTTGGAAAAACTGAAGAGAAGATGATGGATGGAATAGATGAGGTTTATCGAGTCTTCACAAGATATGCAATGAGAAATAGCTTACCAAGAGAAGTTCACATCAGATTTACAAAGAAAGCCATTAAAACGCAAATATTGCAAGTGGCAAAAGAGAAAACGTTGAAATATAAAGACAAGGAGATTGTGATCTTGAAACAAGTACCCAGAAGAGTGAGAGAGATGAGAAGAGAATACCGATTCCTGACCAAAATGCTACTTAAAAAGAGGTGAATTATAGATGGCTGATTCCAGAAGGTTTAATGTTCACATGGCAAGAACAGAGACCGAATTGACTCAATTGAGAAAGCTGAATCATTTTACACAGAATTTTTGGGAGGGAAAGAGGAAGAGGCAGAAAAAGAAATTTCACTAATTGAATTCCAAGAGGACTGCCAAATGACGACTGAAAAAGAAGGAGCAGTAGGTGGAAAGGTGGAAGCCAAAGAATAACGTGAACCAAGATCTACGAGAGCTGCTAAACCTAACTACAAAATATAACCATGGAAGAGAAAAAACTGATTACAATTAATATAAATGAACTTAACTCAGCTGTTAAAAGAAGGAAAACCTTCCATAAATTAGAGAAATTAAAATTTGACATAATCTGCCTACAAGAAGTACATATCAAAAAGCAATATGAACAATTGTTGATACAGCCAAAATTAGGGAAAATGTTTACTTCTTTGACACAATGCAAGAAAAGAGGAATTGTTCTATATATTAAAGATATTATCCCAGTGAAAATGATTTATACTCATGACGATGGAAGAATACTAATGGTGAAAATAATGGACAATAATGTGAAAACACTCCTGATTGCAATTTATGCCCTGAATGACAATCAAGAAGAATTTTATAAAAAATTACATATGAAAATAATTGAACTTGACTATGCTAATATAGTTATGATGGGAGATTTTAATGGAATTGTAGACAATAAACTGGACTACACAGCACAAAAAACAATAAAGCAAAACAGAAAGACTCTCCCTAAATCTTTTTTAAAAATGGTAGATGAAATAAACTTAAAAGATACATGGAGAGAAAGAAATGCTAAAACTAAGCAATACACCTTCTACTCAAATAGACATTTATCATGGTCCAGAATAGATATGATATGGATGTCAACGGAATTGTTAACTAATATTCAAGAAATAAATATTGAAACAAGTACTTGGGCAGATCACAATCCAATGACAATTAAATGGAAAGGACAAAGAAGAAGATCTAGATGGACGTTAAATAATACTATTTTAAAGGAAAAAGACTTCACACAGTGGATGGAGAAAGAACTGGCTTTCTTCTTTAGAGAAAACAAAAAAGAAGATACATCAATTCAGAATGTATGGGACACAATGAAGGCATATGCTAGAGGCTTGATAATAGACTATACAAGGAAAAGAAATACTATGAAAAGATTAGCCTCTAAGGCATTAGAGGATGAGTATAAAGGACTTGAAAAGGAGCTACAGAAAATGCCACAGAAAAAGGACATCAAGTTAAAAATGGATATAATTAAACACAAAATGGGTCAGATAGAAAAAGAAGAATTAGCACAGAAAATTAGAGATGCTAAACAGAACTGCTTTGAAGACACTAATAAACCAGGTAGATGGTTAGCATAAAAATTGAGAAAGAATCAAGGAAAATATTACATTTAATAGATGACCAAGGCCAAGTTTGCTATGGTAGCAAAGAGAAGAAGGAAATCATTCGAGACTTCTATGGGAAATTATATATGCAAGAGAATATTGATGAAGAGAGAGTTAAGCAGAATTTACAGAATGCTAACTCACCTCAGATACCTAAAGAGACTGAAAAAATGTTAGAAAGCAATATAACGATGATGGAGTTAACTGAAGCACTCAAGAAGCAAAATAATGGAAAGGCACCAGGCCCAGATGGACTTCCTGCAGAATTTTATAAAACATTACAAGAATCGCTGAACCTTCCATTGCTAGAAGTTATGAATGAAGTTATGTTAAAGAAGAGAATACCTAAATCATGGTCAGAAGCTTATATTACACTTGTTCCAAAAGAGGAGGCCAATCCATTACAAATCAAGAACTATAGACCTATTTCCTTACTAAACCCAGATTATAAAATTTTTGCTTCAATATTGGCAGAAAGACTTAAAAAATACTTAAATAATTTTATCCATTCGGATCAAAATGGATTTCTGCCAAAGAGACAAATTAAAAACAATATGAGAGTAATCTTGGAGACTTTGGAATATTACGAGGCACATCCTGAAAAACAAATGGCTCTGATATTTCTAGATGCACAGAAGGCATTTGATAATGTGAATTGGTGATTCATGTTATTACAGCTGGAACAGATGGGCTTTGCAAAAGAAATTATTCAAGCAATGGGTGAGACTCTTGATGTTTGTTCTGTCCTGGCAGAGAATTGACCAGCAGAAAACCACCTGCTAAAGGAATAAGAAAGAAGAAATGGTGTTTCATATCTCTTAATACTAACAAATTGGCTTGAATGTGGATGTGTACTTGGGTTCTGTCAGATTCACTTTGTCAAAAAAACAACAACCCCGAACAGTTTTGTTTATTTTGATTGGTCAAATTGAAGAGAGATAGAGAGAATTGGGAAGAAGAATCCAGGATGAGTCTGCTGCAATTGTTTTTCACCTTCTTTTAAGTCATTAAAAATATACAGTAGAGGTGGGACCTCTCTATGCTCTGACCAGTGAGGTCTCCAAACATTCGACAGCCATTGGGTACTGGGGTGTGCAAGTGACGGGCAAGTCTCCATTTGCACAAGCGGCAGGTGCGCATGTGAAACCATCTGATCCTACCACCACCACCACTATTGCCAGTCCATGGAGCCAGAAACGTTGGGGACTCCTGCTCTAGATCACTATTGTATCTTTCAAGTACTTTTGCCTTTACCATATTGTATATACTAAGAGCTTATCTTGTTTGTTTCCATAGCTTGACCATCAGTGTATATAGACAATGAAGTCCATAAAATCAGTTTATCAGTTTGATTCAGTTTGACTCAGTTTATCAGTTTGATTTGGTTTGATTACACATTTGCTAAACATATTTTATTAATCCTTGTGAGATGCAACCCACCTGAGGTACCATCCATTCAGCATCTAATGTTATCCCTATAATTTAGACAAATTAAAAAACATACCATGCATATCTAAAGTTACTTTTATTAGAACAGCTATTGAAATATAGTCTTGCAAATCTGAATATAGTTTTTTTCTTCCCTCCTTCATCTTCATGAGAATTTGGGATGGAGGTGTCTGAGGCATTTTCACAAAATATTTTCTTGGTTTGGGCTCGAGTTTCATTTATCTGATTGTTTCCTGGGGTAGAGAATCTTCCCTCTATCTTTCAAAGTCATCCTCTTTATTTGCACCTACATTATTCATACTTTGGTCTCAGAAAGTAAATTCTTCCCACCAATACTATCAACGTAGCCTATCACTGATTTACAAAATAGCAAACTCTCAGTTTAGTGCACCAATAGGATGCAAGGGGAACGCATAAGAAAAGAATATTAATTGACAAATAGGATTTCTAAAATTTATTTATTTATGTCATGGGTCTTATGTTTTTATAAACAACTCAAAGTGGTGAACATTTTATATGTGTAAAATGTACACAAAATGCACCCAAAAGTATGAAGACTCTATGTATAATAAAATGTATAAATATTTTCTAGACTGAGTCATCAAACATGGACTTTTTTTGTAGTAATTGTTTGGGCTGAAATCTATTATTGCCTGAAATTTAATCCCCACCCCCACCCCGAAATTCAGAAATTGCGCTACATTCTAATTCCACTGAATTAGAGTTTAGAGAACTAGAGAGAGCCCAAGACAAAGGACAGTGGTGTAAAAGTAGATATTTCATATGTAAGATATTAGTTATTAGAAAAAGTAAAAGCTGTTGAGATATTAATGAAACAGAGGTATAGGGTGTAAAAAATAAAACAAATGTGGAAATTCTTTATATTCAATTGTGTTCCAATTTTTAAAGAGCCATTATTGAAATATTAGAAATAATGTAATCTACAAAAGATATTCAGCATAAACATTGGTAATTTGGAATTTCAGGTCAAAATAGCCAAATCTGCCCTATAATGCAGATATACTCTAGATTATACTCAGCTTGCAAGCCAAATCACATTTATCAGGAATAGTGTCCTGGCTTGCCATAACTAATATGTACCAAATACAAGTAGAAAACAAGGAAACCTTTCAGATCATAGATATATGCTGTTTACAATTCTTCTACCATGTAGGGAAAATGCCACTCAAAAAATTCATTTTCAGGAGAAGAAGCAGTTTTCAGACTACTACAAGTTCAAATTAGAGATAAGTTAAGACAATAGCGAGAAGTCCCAAACAGACGAGTGCTTTAATGAAGAAAGAAGGAACCAGAGTTACTTTAGTGTTGGTAGAAGACTGCAGAGGCCGTGTCTTTGTAGGCTTGATAATCCTTTCTCTCTGGGTCAAGATGGTGTTTCTGGCTCCCTCCCACTTCCCAGGACCGGTCAAACGAAACTGAGTAGCTGAATAAGGTCCAAAATATACCTCCCAGGCCAGCTTTGGATCGGTCAGAAGAAGACTCAGCAGCTTGGGCTTCACTCCTAATATGGAAGCCAGTTCATCCATGTAATCAATATACTGCACTATTAAGGAATTGATTGGGATGGCTGTATACCTAAGAGCAAAACATAAGTTGAAGATCTGATAATAGAATCATAAAATCATAGAATTATAGGGTTAGAAGAGCTCTTGGAGATCTTCTACTAAAACCCAATTCCTGCCTGAGATCCTGCTTCCTCTTCCTTCCCCTTCTATCAATTTACAGTCACATATTTAGCATTCCAGTTGAGCTGCAATGGTAAGTGGTTTATTGTTCTACACATCAATTAATATGTTAAAGTTTTTGTTCTATATGATATGTTTCATTAACACTGTATGTAGTGTTAATGTTGCCCTTGTGAAATATCAAAGACTTGTGATAGTAATACTAATACTTTAATTATTGTCTATATTTTATAGTCTAGAAGTAGATTGTTTAAGGAATTGTAAACTTCACAGTTTTTGTTCTCTAATGATAGGCTATGGTTGAAATAAAGAATTTACAATAGAACTTGAATGCTTTTAATTTTAGGACATGTGACAACCCCTCCCCCACATGCTAATCTAATCTAATTAGAGTTGCCTTTGGTGAGATGGATAGCCATATAAATTTCATTAATTAATTAATAAAATAAAAACCTAGTCTATATGTCCCATCTCTTTCTGCAAGCAGTAAAGTTTATAAAATAAACTTATAAAATAAGTTTAATATGTAGCTAAGTTTGTATGCTATGGGTGAATTTGCAATTGTCATTTTAAAATTTATTCACACAGGCATTTTATATACAAGGCCAAAATATTTTCAATTCCAACATTCTGGAGAAATAAGCACATTATATATACACAGCTGATCTACCTTTTTTCATTATACTGGATCTTCTTAACAATATCAGTCATCATGTCATTACCTGAAGGTAACTTGTTCAGGCCTGAAAAACAACATCAGTTTAATCTTCTGGTGCCCCCTTAGCCTGAGAAATGCAGAACAGTTTGCAGACAGGTAATGCAGAAATACAGAACGTATTGTGGACTGAACAGAGAAACTGAAGTAGACTGTAACTGTGTTCATTACATGTATAGAGATATTAGAGAAATGAAAGTATTTCAATAAAGGACAAAGCATTGTGGTTATATAGCAAAACACTAGGATAATTTTCTGAAGAAGGAATATGGCTACTCCTGACCTCCAGAAATAGTAGGATGGTGGAGAAGGTGATGCTGGATAAACACTAAACAGCAGCAAACATTGGTTTTCCATACTTGCTACTGTGGCTGTAGATGTTTGCAAATCAAATCTGATAGCCTTACCCAGTACTAAGACTGCAGTCCAATGCAGACTTCCTGGGGTATTTAACTACTAATGGTGGCTTGCTTCTGCATAGGTATGCAACAATGCATGCAGACACATATTCCTTGGTAATTTAGAACCACTGCACTTAGCCTCCTGGCTCCCAAACATCAATTTGGTTGAAAGATGAACTAGCTCAGGACTGAAATAGGTGTTCTGTATATCTCAGCTTTCTGTTGAACTGAATATCAGTAGTAGTTCAACACAATTGTTAGCTTTACTACTTCAGTATAAACTATGCTTCAGATTATCATGGGCATAAACACTCCCATCCATTTAAATCAGATGTCAATATATTTCCTTATGGTTTGCAATCACATTCATTAATTTTACATTTCCTTACTCAAATATAAAAGTGTTCTGGCTGCAAAAAAGGTAAATTTTGTTTCTATTCAAACAAATACCTCACACACAATAGTATAATCTGAGAGTTTAATCCCTTTAATCCAAGAGAATTAAACAAAACCAGTTATGACCATTATTGAATCATGTCCAGTCTATCTGCATATTGGCAACTCTACAAGAGTTCAGCCAGAGGTATTTTGCAGACCAACCACCAAGTAGGGTTTTTTTAACTTAATGCCAGGTGTGATGGGTCGTGGGGCCATTTGCAGGGCACCAGGGCTAGGAGAAGTAACTTTTCTAAAGATACATGTGAAATGACCTTATTTGAAATTACAGAACAATTTTGGTGGAATTTCACCTATATTCCACTTGTATACTGTAATTCTTTCTTGGTTATGAAGTCTTACAAAATGATTCTCAAGTATGAAAATGAAATGTTAATTATGAAAAATTATCCCTTTGAAAAATGAACTACTGGTATGCCTTTCTGTAGTACATAGAAGACATAGAACTAAGGTGAAATTTTCTAACAGTAGGAACAATCAAGCAGTGGAACAGCTTGCGTTCAGAAGTTGTGGGTGCTCCAACATGGGAGGCTTTTAAGAAGAACCATTTTTCTAAACTGGTATAGGGTCTCCTGCTTGAGCAGCGGGTTGGACTAGAAGACCTCCAAGCCCCTTTCAACTCTGTTATTCTGTTACATGATCTAATACGAAAGCATTATAGGGATTTTTTTTTAGGACATGGAAATTTTTTTGGATGGTATTTTTGGATGGTTGCAGGATGTAAGCTGCTTCATGTAGAGCTGCCTCTTGAAAATGGCTAATCATCATCATCATCATCATCATCATCATCATTATCTTTTATTCATTAAACATGAAACTAGGTCAATTGAACATTTAAAAGTGTGTCACAAATATCATTGACTGGCTCCAATGGTTGATATGGGTTGCTGCCAGCATCCTAGATATCAACCAAGTATCTTCTTAAAATGTATGTTGTTCTGAGTAGCGATATCTTTTGCAGCTCTGCTGGTTTTGCATCATCATCATCATCATCATCATTGTTATTGGTTAATCTTTAGTGAGATTCACAGTCTTTGGGGTTGGTTGGTAGCTCAACAGCTCAAGTCCTAACCAAGGACCCAGGAACTGTTAAGATAGCGTCGGAGGGTATAAACGATTCCAAGTAGGGTGGTTTTTTGTAGAATCAGAGTATTCAAGTCTGATAAGGCAGAATTTCCAAACAGTGAGATAGCCCTTTAGGTATTGCTCCATGGGCTCCAATTACAATTGGCATCACACACGATTTCTTTTTCCAAAGTCGCTCAACTTCAATTTGTAAGTCCCGATACTTTGTGATTTTTTTCTTGCTGCGCGTCTTCAGTTCGTACATCACCATGTACTGCAATGTCAATGAACCAAACCTTTTTCTTTTCAACTATTGTTATGTCAGATGTGTTGTGGGACAAGTGCCTGTCAGACTGAATTCTGAAGTCCCACAAGATCTTGACTTTTTCGATCTCCAGAACCTTCTCAATCTGATGTCCCAGTAGTAATCATCATCATCATCATCATCATCATCATCATCATCGGAATTGGAATGTGAAGAAAGGGAGGGATGGAAGCACAGCTGAATCATGTGAGAAGCTCCAGCCAGTCAATGTCATTGATGATATGCAGAGCTGGGAACTGAGTACCTGTTTCCTGAACAATATACAAGCAGCTGAATAGACATTTGCTGATAACTGGGGGATGGCCGGGGGAGGACGACTTTCCTTTGTGTTGTTTGCACAGGAAAAACTCTGATTCAGCTTATACTACTTCTGTAACCATTTCAGCTTGAGAAAAGTATACTTTTGGCAAAACAAATGGTTGCTAGACGACTGAGTGGAAGGGTTAATAACTGGTTTTCATGCTAAAGGGATCCTAGAATTCACATTCTCCTGGTTTCCAGACTAGCACCTTCATCACTACATCAAACTGCTTATTGGGTGGGATGAAGAATGATAACATTATGACAGGGATAATTCCAAGAAGTTTCCTTGTTAGTCTTTTTGCTATATACATATATTATGTTACATCAGGGATGAGGAACTATGACTCTTTTATGACTTGTGGACTTCAACCCCAGAATTCCTGAGCCAACATGGCTGGCTCAGGAATTCTGGAAATTGAAATCCACACGTCATAAAAGGATCATAGTTCCCCACCTCTGTGTTACATGAACAACACAATTGGTCATATGCAAATATTTAGAGAGATGGCGGTTACCTTCATGGGCACACAAATATATATTACATGGCTTTCTTGTTCTTATACAAAAGAGGGAGTTGATTATATTAACCAGCAGTGCAACCTTCAAACCAAGCAAAACATCAATCATTTTTTAATATTGTTTCTTACCCTTGAAGATTCTTGTGGCCCAGCGAACTTGGAGCTCAGATATAGGCATAGTGGCTCCCATAGGTTTGATTAAGCCAATCACAGCTAATGTGTGCTTTTCCAAGTGTGGTGGGAAAACATATTTATATAGTGAGAGTTTATTTGTTTGGGTCCCAAGGATAGAGTCCTGAGTGTAGGGAAATGAGAAGTTGTATCCTGTAGCAAAAATTACCACATCAATATTTTCTTCTGTGCTGCCATCTTCAAATATCACACCTTTTTCGGTGAACTTCTTCACATTTGGTTTCATTAGCACCCTGCCAGTAATTATAGCATTTGGTAGATCATCGCCCATAATTGGGCTCTTACTTAGGAACCTGCAAAATGAAGAAAAAAAACCACACTGGCCATATTTTACTCCAGAACATACGCTTATTAACCTTAAATGATCATTTGAAAAAAGGGGGGTTAAGTAAGCTACAGTAAATGATCATCTTAGATGTTTTTCAAACAGGCCAAGAAAGCACAGCCTTGGTGAAGAAAAGCTAGTTCATTTATGTCAGAGATGTAATTCAGTGTACGTTGATGTATTCTCTTTACCCGTGTATTTATACCAAATATACAGTACATTATTTACTGGCTTTGTATTTTTATAACAGTTTTGTCTAATTGTTTTCTGTTTTTACATTCTTGTTGACTTCTTTTTTGTATCCAATGCCACATTTTGGGAATATATTTTACTGCAAAGTAATGAAACAGCAGGTACAAAAATGGCAGAAAATGGAGCTTCAGTCTAGAGACCCTGGAAGTGCCTTTTTCTCAGGGAATCTTTGGATAACATCACCTTTATCTTCATCACCACCATAGCTAGACTCAGAAGAGCTAAAATTGGCAGAGTAATTTCTATGCAGGCTTTCAGCTTTTTTGTAAAAGGTATAATGGTAAAAAAAAATATGCATGAAGAAAAGTCACAAGATACAGAATTAGGTAAAGAAACCAGAATGTCAGCTAAGACTACTATTATTTCTCCACATTTAAGTTGCTCCTAAAATGGGATTAATATTTATTTTAATGTGTATATTCCATGTCTTCCTAAGTGTCAGAGTATGGAGAAATTCCACCCTTACCTGTGCTGTGGCTTTACACCATAATTCTCATGGTTAAATTTCATATTCAGCTTCCTCTCTCCCCATTGGTTTATCAGTGCCACAGGAAGTTTATGGAAAAGGAGATTTTTGAAACGTGTAAAATAAACTACATCCAAAGGATACCCATCATTAGAGACTCGATTGACCACCCAAGCTCCAGTTCTAGTGCTCAGAAAGACCTGTGGAGGAGAAAGGGAAATCAGCACTAACTCCTTCCCCAGTCAGTCTTGTAATACAAAACATAAATCTAGCGAACAAAATGGAGACTGAATCCCTTTCCCGCCATCTTTCGGATATAACCAAGGTCATACCCAGTTCGTCTCTTTGCCTAATCCCATCAGAACCAAAATGACCTCCCTACTTCAGACCAAGGTCCCTGCAATCCCATCTAGACCAAAGAATAGCAGCCTCATCCTCAGCTCACAGTATGGCTCAAGGGCAACCCTCTCAAGGAACATGTAACCTAGAGAAACTCCAACTTTCCATTTCCTTCACAATGAACTTCCTCAGTTCTGCTGACCTTCTGAAAGGCCCATTTTGCCTTTAGAAGTAATCCTAAGTATCAACAAGGATTTGCTTAGGTACCCAAACTAGCCAGCAAATCAGAACCCTGGGATTTCCTATCTTGCAGCCCTCAACCTCTATAAAAAAAAACCTTTCTTTTCCATTGTTCAGGGTTAGGGTTCTTCTTTTAAAGTAGGTACCCAATGATCATTGTAATGAGCATGGTTCTTCTCTTCAGCATTGTGCTCCTTACTTTGGCAAAAATGAAAACAAAACCCCACAACAGCCCATTCCTCCTTCCATTGAGTCCCAAGGGACAACAGTGAGTGCTAATATATTTTTCCCAAGAGTGGAAATGTGGGGATGTTCAGGAAAAAAAAGACAGAGAAGAATCTTGTTCTCAACCTTTGATGTTCCTCCTCTCCCTGATTTCCAGGCCAGTAGGACTATCTTTCAGTAAGGAACGCATATTTGATAAAAAGTATTGCAAAGCCCTCCAGCCTTACTGAGAAAAGTTCAACTTTCATTCACATATATTACTAACAATTTAATTATTCAATGAATAATTTAATGAAGCATTCACATGTATTACTAATTGATAGAATTAATCTTTGAAATGCTATCCCCCACAAAGCAACAAATGAACCCTGGTAGTATTTGAGCTCAAAACCTGACAAAATTGCCTGCTGTTATCATCAGATTTTTTAAAAAAAAACTTGTTTAAATACACCATACCTGCTTTGTGTTATGGCTGAGGTCAATAGCAATTTCTATTCCAGAATTTCCCACACCTATAATGAGGATTCGTTGGTCCTGGTATTTTTCAGGATTCTTATAAGCCGAACTGTGAATAATTTTCCCCTTAAACTTCTCAACACCTAATAAATAAATAAATAAATAAGGACCCATCTTTGCTAAGCAAAGCATATCTTTGTTGGAAGACTGAAAAAAATAGTCAATATAGGTGCTGGATTTGAAATGAACTTTAAGAAGAATTGTCATGGTTAGATTATTAGGTTATTGGGTTATTATTAATGTCACATTGTTGCCTGATATGTCCCATTCTCAATACTTCCTCATACTATTGTCAGAAATGACCCACACATATTGGACAGAATGACGATGAACCCTGTAGCTTTTAAATAATAACCAGGTATTAGTAGAAGTATTTTACTTCTTTTGCTTTTTGATCGTTGATGATTCCTAAGAGAAAAGTTTCTGGTCTGAGCTCAATCTGGTAACCAGTAATCACTTGTAGCCAGGACCAGAATGTCCTGGTCTTGGGGCATAACCATCACATGTGGTAAAATGTAGCATCAACTTTTTTACATTTCCAACATTTTGGGCTTGTGTTGGAGTAAATTTTTGCTAATCTCGTTGGGGCTAAATACCATCTGTAAAGCATTTTGTATATAGTTTCTTTGTATGCTAAGGATATAGTTAGCTTATAATTTCCATTCCATATTTTCTCCCATTCCACAGTGAAAGGTACAATGATTCTATATTATATCCGAAGTTCTGCGCCAATGTAATCATTGTACCTTTCACTGTTTCCTCTTCCATTTTGAAGTCTAATAAATATTTATATATTTTGGTTATAAATTTTTGTTTTGGTCCCATTAAAATTTTATCTAATTGTTTTTGCCCTTTGTCAAAGCCAAAATCTTTCAAATCTTTTTTGTATTTATTTTGGATTTGCAAATAGGGCCACCAATCAATAATAATTCCATTTTCCTTTAATTCTTGATTTGATTTTAATTTTCCTTGACTATCTAATAATTCCTTACAGCTTACCATTTTCCTTAAGTCTAATCTTTTTTTAAAAAAATTATTCTTTAAAAACAAAAAATACAAAAATCTCATTTCCATTAACAGTTATTGTGTCATTGTATATACATGTTTCTTATTTTGTAACTATACATTATTTTTATCCTTATCTTTCACCCATTCATACCACCTCTCCCATGTCACATAGTATTCTCGATCCTCTTTGCCTTTCAGTTCCATAGTGAATTTATCTAGTTCAGCACAGTCCATTATTTTTTGAATCAAAACTTCATCTGGTGGTATTTTATCACTCTTCCAATTTTGTGCTAACATGATTCTTGCTGCAGTTAAGATGTGTACAATAAGGTATCTTTTATCTTTACTCAAATTCCCTTTGATCATATCTACCGTGTTTCTCCAACTATACGGCCTCCACCAATAGAAAGGCCCAGCATGATTTCTAGGCATGAGGTGAAATTAAGCCCCGCCCCCAAAATTTAGGCCTATTTAAGCCATGTGTTTCCTCGCCATTTCTCACATTGTTCGTTAGAACTACACGAGGTGAAGAGAAATGGGGTGGGGGGGGGAGAAAACTTGCCTTTAGGAGTGCCCTGCAGGTAGCCTAGGCTAGAATACCTCGATAGCCGATAGAAGCTCCCTGAAGGCAGAGTCCCCAGCCACTTCAGGGCATGGCGTGGCTGCCCGTGTCCCCTCGCCTTTAGGCAGTCTCTTTCGGGCGATGGAAGGTCCCCCAAGTGCAGTCACCAGCCACTTCGATTGGCCGGTAGAAGCGGCCTCAGGACGAGCACACACACACCCCTCGCCGCGAGGCCGCTTCTACCGGCCAATCGAAGTGGCTGGTGACTGCACTTGGGGAGCTTCCATCGCCTGAAAGAGACTGCCTAAAGGCGAGGGGACACGGGCAGCCATGCCACGCCCTGAAGTGGCTGGGGACTCTGCCTTCAAGGAGCTTTTGTTGGCCGATAGAAGCGGCCTCGCGGTGAGGTACATGCATATGGGCCGCTCTAGTGTGGGAGGAAATTAAGTCACCTGTGAAAAGACGGCCTAGCTGTTTTTTCAGGGGGTCAAAAAAAAAAAAGGCCGGGCCTTATTTTGTGAGAAACACAGTAATAAAAATGTTTTGGGTTCCAAATTCAATTTATATTTTGTAATCTCAAAAAGCCATCTCTGTATTTTCTTCCATTATTTTTTGACCTCTATACATTGCCACCACATATGGAAAAATGTTCCTTTCTTTTGTTTGCACTTCCAGCATTCTGATTTCAAGGTTATATACATTTTCGCTAGTCGTGCCAGCGCTAAGTGCCATCTACAAAACATTTTATATTGATTTTCTTTGAATGCCGTCGACAAAGTCAGCTTCCAGTTCTCGGTCCAAGTCTTTTTCCACTCATCCAAATTTATATTATGACCCACATTTCTTGCCCAGGCAATCATTGGTCCCTTAACAATTTCCTCCTCTAGCTCTACCTCCAGCAAATAATTATATGTTCGTGTTATAAATTTTATATCCTTGCCTGTCAAGATTTGGTCCAATTTTTGTAAGTCTTTATCTATCCCTAGCTCCTTTACATCTTTCTTAAATTTAGTTTGAATTTGTGAATATACCCACCAGTCTAATATTATCCCTTGTTCTTTTAGTTTATCCAGTGTTTTTAATTCCCCCTGTTCATCTACCAATTCTTTATATCTAATCATTTTTTTAGTGTCCCTTGTATTTGGATATAATATAGCTTTCATAGGTGAGATCCAGTTCAGACTTTTCAAATAGTGCTTTTTAAAATTTTCTCCCATGTTTGTAAAAGTGAATCCCTTATCAAATGTCTATGGAAATAGGAGTGGATCTTATTCTTTTTATCCCATAGAAAGGCATACCACCCAACTTGGAGGTCATGACCTTCTATCACCAAAATTCTTTTATTTTTTAAGTTTATCCTCTCCTTAACCCATATTAAAATTGCTGCTTGATAATATGTTTCCCATTTTGGGAGTCGAAGGCCGCCTCTGGTTCTACTATCTTGTAACGTTTTCAATTTTATTCGTGCTTTTTTCCCCATCCATATAAATTTCATTACTGTCCTATCTAATTCCTGACAAAATTTCTTATCCAATTTTATAGGTATTGTTTGAAAATAGTATAATAGTTTCAGTAGTATGTTCATTCTTATGGCTGCTATTCAGCCTAATAGCAATAGTTGTAATTTTTCCCAATTGGCCAGATCTTTCTTTATCTGTGAAAGTAATTTCATATAATTATCCTCTTTTATGGAAGAGCATCTTCCTGTTAACCAAATTCCTAGATACTTAAGTTTTTTGATATTTTGTAGTCCCAATTTCCTTTCCAATTGTTTTTTTTACTTTCTATCAAGTTTTTGGTTATTACTTTTGTTTTATCTTTATTAATTTTTAGTCCTGCTACCATCCCATATGTTTCTAATTCTTGGATTAGATAGGTCCCTGACTCCATTGGATCTTCCACAAAAAACACTAAGTTGTCCACAAATGCCTGTACTTTATATTCTTCTTTTTTGCTCTTCAGTCCAATTATCTCCTTTCTTTGTCTAATCTGATTTAAAAGCACTTTGGTGGTCAAGATAAAAAGCAAAGGTGACATTGGACATCCCTGTCTAACACCTTTCATAATCTTAAAGTTTTCAGTAATCTCCCCATTTATAATTACCCTAGCTTTTTGGTTGGAATAAATTGTGCCAATCATTTTCTTGAATTTAGATCCAAATCCCATATTTTTGACCTGTTGGATAGAGAACTGCCAGCTGAGATTGTTGAAGGCCTTCTGAGCACCCAAGAAAATCAATGCTGCCTGCTTTCCCGGGTGAGCCTCATAGTATTCTAATATGTTTAATACTATCCTTCTATTGTTCCTTATCTGTCTAGAAGGTAGAAAGCCGTTCTGGTCAATATGAATAAGTTCATTTAATATAATTTTTAGCCTTTCCGACATTATTGTTGCAAATATTTTATAGTCTGCATTCAGGAGTGAGATTGGTCTATAATTTTTAATCTGTTTGTGATCTAAATCTTCTTTAGGAATTAGTGAGGTATTCACTTCTCTCCATGAATCGGGTAATTTGGCAAAGTCTAATACCTCATTGTACACATCTAACATCACTGGTTCAAGACATTCATAAATACATTAGTACAATTCCGCTGGAAGACTATCCGGCCTTGGCGTCTTATTATCTTTCTGCTTTTAAACCGCCCTTTTCAATTCCATCAGTTATTTGTTTATTTAATATCTCTTTCTGTTTCTCTTTAATTTCTGAGAGACCTTTCCTTTTCAAATATTGTTCTATATTCTCAGGGTTTATTCCATCCTCCCTATATAGTTGTTCTAAATATTTTTGTACTATTTTCTATTTCTCAGTCATTCAGTATTCTAATTTTCCATCATCATCCTCCAATTCTTGTATCAACCTTCTTTCTCTTTCTAATCTTAATTTATGGGCTCACCACCTCCCTGGTTTATTTGCATGTTCAAAAAAATTCTGTTTTGCCCTTTTCACCTCTTTAACTCTCTCTTCCTGATTGATAATGTTCTATTTATGACTAGTAAAAATAATCTCTCTCCTCAATTTTTCATCTTGTGGGTTTTTTTGTAATCTACTTTCTAGGTCTTTAATCTCCTCCTGTAATTTATTCTGATTTTGCCATCTTTCCTTATTCCTTTTCGCTGTATATGCTGTTACCAGCCCCCTCAAGACTGCCTTTGCTGTATCCCATAAATTCTGTAATGATGTTTGCTCCACTGTATTTTCCTTTAAAAAAAGTTCCATTTCTTTCTTAATTTTCTCTACAAAATCTTTCTCCTTTAAAATTTGGGGATTAAGTATCCACCTTCTACTCTTCCTTTTCCTTCCTTTCCAAATTATTTTTAATGGGTTATGATCATACATTTGTCATAATCTCTATCGAATCTAGTTGATATCCTAGTTCTGTGTTCATCCACACTATGTCTAATCTAGACCACGATTTGTGTGGGTTAGAGTAGAACGTGAATTCTTTTCTCCCCAAATTTATTCTCCTCCACTTGATCTATCAAATTTAGTTCCTGTGTCATATTGAAAGAGGA